TGAGCCACTGCGCCCAGCTACTTTTTTTTTTTAAGTTCTGGGATGCATGTGCACAATGTGCAATTTTGCTACGTAGGTATATATATGCCACGGTGGTTTGCTACACCTATCAACCCATCATCTAACTTTTAAGTCCTGCATGCATTAGGTGTTTGCCCTAATGCTCTCTCTCCTCTTGCCCCCAACTCCCCCAATGTTGTAAACTTTCATCATACAACTAAGCAAAATCAAGATGTACCAATCTTGACTGTGTATCAATCAACACAAACAAAACCAAGATGTTCTAAAATTTAAAAGTTTTTTAAAGTAAAGGAGCTATGAAATTAATGGCAAGGACATCAAGAGGTGACTCTTTATGCCTTTCCAATAGTGACATGTAGAAGAGTTATTTTAGTCTTAAGAAAAAGCAAAAGAATTTTTTTTAAAAAACAACGCATTACAACAACTATCTATAAACATTTTGAAAAGAAAGAACGACATTTGGCATTAAGAATAAGAGAAATCTTAAATATAGACATTTCAGCTTGCAAATGATCTAGATCAAGTTTAGCTGTTTCTTTTTTTCTTAAGCCAGTCTTACTCTGTTGCCCAGGCTGCAGTGCAGTGGCGTTATCTCGGCTCACTGCAACCTCCACCTCCAGGGTTCAAGCAATTCTTGTGCCTCAACCTCCTGAGTAGCTGGTATTATAGGTGCTTGCCACCATGCCTGGCTAATTTTTTGTATTTTTAGTAAAGACAGGGTTTCAGCATGTTGGCTAGGCTGGTCTTGAACTCCTGGCCTCAAGTGATCTGCCCGCCTTGGCCTCCCAAAACACTGGAATTACAGACATAAGCTACTGCGCCTGGCTGCAAATGAATTAAGTTTAAATGAAAATATTAACTGTAATTTATTTGTACACAGCAAGCACTCTGTGGAATAACTATTTTACTAAGCAGCATCTTGATCATATTTAATGAGCATAAAATATAAAGTTTACCTAAGAAGTAATGCCCAGAACGCCATTAAATTATCTGTACATTTCTGATTTCAGTAAAGTATGATAGGAGTGATGATTTTTTGTTTGCTTTTGTTTTAAATAAAGTTGAAATACTTACCTGGGTTTCATATAAGTGGGCAATGTGAAACTGAACTGCAAAGGATGATGAAAAATAAAAAAAATCAGTAATAATACAGCAGAATTTGGGGCAAATTAAGAATAACAAAACATCAAACATTATCACAGTCTACATTATATAGATTTAAGTAATAGAAAATATAACTTTTATTTGCTTTTACTAAAACAGAATATATAAACAAATACACTAAACAACACAATCCTAAGAAACCACATGTATTCATTGTTGGTCATTATAAAATGAAATTTCTGTCAATGTTGTTATTAAAATTAGCATTAAATCTATAGCAAGTGAATATACGTTTTACAAAGTTCAAAAGGGCAATATTAAACAAATAGAGAAAACCTTTATAATTTATACATTTCAAAACGCAGTATTTAAAAACTGAATTCCAAGTCAAAAAAGAGCAAAGTCAATATTTAATTTAAAAATGTTAAAACTAAAGTACAAATCAATGTTGACATAAAAAATTCAAAGAGAACTATGTTTTACAAAGACAATAAAGAGGCTAGTGTTGAAAAGAGTAATACTGGCTCAAAGTAGGTACCTACATTTGTTGTGACATCAGGCAATATCATAGTTATCCAGTAATCAGGTCAAATCAACTGAACAGCAATAGCCAAAAGTCTAAACAGAGAACATGCTCTCCCGTTTGAGTGACCAACCACCTTTTAGCACTGAAAATCCCAGGAAATTCCTCAGTCCTGGGCTAAATGAATAATGGTCATCCTATTTCCCGTTTCCCTTCTCAATACTAAACAGAAAAAGAGGCATAGCCGACTTGAAAGAATACTCAGGATGGTTCTATTTCAAATTCAACAGTTTTCTGCCATGTGGCACTCATCCTACCTATGCAGACATTTTTCCGTCAAGAGTAATGATCTACAACTGAGATTTAAACTCAACAGAGTAGAATGAGAATTTGCCAAAATATTTAGTTTGATATTTATGAGACATCCGTAAAAAGTTATCATTCAAACTGACTTATCAAAGTTACCTTTTAGGTACTAGACCATAATGAATTAAAGGATAGTCAGCTGTTTCCTTATTCTCATAAACTAATTTGAAAAGAATTTTAAGCAACTATATATTCTAGACGGTTTATATAACCTGAATAATTAAGAAAAAGTTATAAATTAAAACTTTATAAACTACTAAACCAATGAGTCAATTTTTTCAAATCAAACCTTATCTTAGAAACTAGAAAATATTGCTGTATTTGTTATTTTTCCACCATTTATTCTACAAACACACTAATCAGTACTGGATCCTGAATTTCATTTAAGAAGATAAAAATCCTTTACATTTTCTCAGGAAATTACCTGTAGTAAAAGTAAGACATAATTCATCTGGCTTAGATTATGATTTAATCCATACTATTTCTTAATCCATGTTATATTGAAAATTCTATAGCATTTTCGCTGATTCAACAATTTCCCAGGGCATTTCTAAAGACTAAGACTAATTTTCACTAATATCTCTCTGTACTCTTTTCTTTCTTAAGTGATTTACAAGAGGCAACGGCAGGAAGATCACTTAAGTGCAGCAGTTCAAGGCTACAGTTGAGCTACTATGGCCCCACTACACTCCAGTCTAAGTGGCAGAAAAAGACCCTGTCTCAAAATGAAACGAAAACTAAAAACAAAAAAGTAACTTACAGCAAAATACTGACTTTCTAAAACCTAGAATCCTTTGTATGACTGAAATTGTCATTAATTGCTCATACCAATTAAAAATTTTATTTTTTAAGAAAGTTTTTAAGAAATTCAGCTTCTATGAATATTCTTAAACCTTTTTACTGGATACTTTAGCGTATACTAAATAAATACACCAAAATATATAATTATTGATAAACATATGTAATTGATAAACATATAATACAAAGGATTCCAGGTTTCAGAAAGTCAGTTTTTGCTGTAAGTTACTTTTTTTTGCTTTTTGTTTCATTTTGAGTCAGGGATCTTTCTCTGCCACTTAGGCTGGAGCGCAGTGGTGCCACAGTAGCTCAACTGCATCTTCGAACTCCTGCACTTAAGTGATCTTCCTGCCTTAGCCTCCTGTAAATCACTTAAAAAAGAGTACTATAGAGAGATATTAGTGAAAAGTAGTCTTAGTTTTAGAAATGCTTTTGAAAAGACATCTATATAGAAGCAGAAAATAACTTTGGAAAAAAATACTTCGTTAGAACATGGCTTAAATGCATTCTTTTCTAATTAATTGAAAAATGCCATCTCAAACTTTTTATAGGATACACAAAACCATAATAAAAGTCACAAATATGTCTTCATAATTACCAATAATTTTAATCCCACATAGGAGGAATCAGTAAGCTATCAGATAAGAATCTTTATATACTCATGTTTCCTAAAAGACCAGCAAAATCTGTTTTTAATCCTACCGAGTCATCTACAATATAATACGCAACAGAAAAAAAATCAATCTTTTTCATTAGTGCAGATAATTTTAATTCAACAACCTACTTCACTGGCCTATTTTATACACGGGCTGTTCACAGTATCTGGTCTTGCAGGTTGCATATATGTAAGTAGCCATGGCAACCAATACAGTTACATTAAACAATTCTAAAAGAAAAAATTGTACAGAATTTATCACTAACATTATTATTTGCCATGAAGTGTTCTGAATACATGTAGAAAACTATGGTACTTAATAATACTTACTTTCAGCATTGGACAAAGTGCAGGGATTACAGTCAACCAAAGCTAACTGAAAATGCTGCAAGAGGAGAGTGAGAAAATTAATGCACTAAATTTAGAGTCACATAAAAGCATCTTAAGATAGTTTCCAGGTATGTAAGGTCTAACACATAATAATGAATACATGCTATGCAAAAAAAAAAAAAATACAGTGGCCTACCAACTAGAAACACTTTGAATATTTACTGCTGATAACTGACATGCTGTGGGGTTATTTTCTTGAGACAGCTGAGAATGGAGAAGTTGAAGAAGAGTTAATTTTACCAAGTTATCCTATGTATATTTTTATGTATATGACAAAGGTGAAGACTTTGAAGTCTTCAAGTAAACAGGAAGTAGTATACAACAATTTAAATAGAGAATATATAATTATTTTTAAAAATCCAAGTAGAAGTCTGTTGGTATTGTCAGAACACCACTGCTTATCTCAAAATGAGACATGAACTTCTGAAACAAAAAAATCACTATGAGAATTGTCATAGAGTGTAAAACTTTATGTCTTTACTGATCTTTCAATAATCACTGTACTTAACTGTCTTTTAAAATAGCCTATGTCCAAGTTCATCTACCAAATATAACTGTCCTTTTACAATGTGACATTGTATGTATAGAATCTGCATAATTTCCCAGTCAATATTAAGCCACGAACTTAGTATCCATTTATAGTATCATGAAAGTACATTAACATCAGTGCATAATACTAATTTTTAAGAATGCATATTATCAAGAACACTGGGTGACATTTAACATCTAGTTTATCAACATTAAACCAGGCATAAGACAAACAAGTACTTGAGCTGGTATGAAATCTAAGTTTAAAAAGATGAGTAAGTCTCTTGAAACTCTTCTAAATGATATCCCCACAAATGTATACTCAAATTTTCTGGGCCTCCACAAATTTTTAGCATAAAAAGTAATTAACTCAATTCAATCTGTAA